AGGGCCAGCAGCAGCGTCCGCCTCAGCAGCAGCCCCAGCAGTGGGGCACTCAGCAGCAGTGGGGCACTCAGCAGCAGTGGGGCCCTTCGCAGCAGTGGGGCCCCCCGCAGCAGTGGAGACCTACGGGCCCCCCGAGCACTGGGCGCAGTGGTGCCCCTTCTAGTCGGGGACCCCGCTCGGCCGGCCGCGACGTTGGTCCCTGTGAGTACTGGATCCTGACGGGTCCGCGCAGGGGCACGTACTGCGGCCGCCCTGACCACTCTGCTGCACGCTGCTTCAGCCGTCTCGACGACCTGTACGTCCTGCACCACGGCCCCTCCGCTCCCCCGCCACCGCGCTGGGGACCACTCCTTGCTCGTGGTGTTGACTATAGTGCTGCTGGATCTGTTTACTTGCCTGTACCTAGCGTAGGATCTTTGCCTGTTGCTAGAGTAGGTGCTGGTGTAGGATCCTGTCTAGCTACTAGTACAGGTGCTCCCTCGGCGGACGCGTCGCTCTCCTTCACACTGGACTCCGGAGCGACGCAGTGCTTCTTCCGCGACAGCACGACTCTTACTCCACTCTCGGCGCCGATTTCTGTAGCACTGGCCGATCCCTCTGCGGACAAGCTCTCACCTCGCGGCGTCCCCTGTGTCTTCCTTGGTTTCCCTGAGGCCTCCTCTGACTTCACCTTTTACCACCCTCCCTCCCACCGGTTCTTTGACTCTCGTGACGAGGTTCAGCAGCGGGTGGAGCGTGAGAGGTTGGAGTTGCAGCAGCAGCCGGAGCAGTCTCCGGCCCCTGTTTCTGGCCTTCGGGCCCTTGGTCTCCCCTCCTCTCCTCCTGTGTTCGGTCCTACGTTTCCTCCTCCGGACTCAGCTCCGGCTGTGTTCCCTCGTTCTCGCTCTCCCCCCTCTCCCTCTCCACTTGCCCACACTTGGGCTCCTCGTTCTCCTCGTGCTCGTCCCTCGTCCCCTGTCACTGACCTCCGTGCCGCCTTGTCCTTCTCCTCGTCCTCGTCCTCTGTTCTCCCTCGTCCTCCGGAGTCGTCCCTCACTGCCGCCCTGTCCACTCCTGTCACTGACTACTACCGCACTTACCGTCCCACTCTCTCTCGCGTTCTCGCCTCTCTTGTTACAGACCCTCGTGCCTCTCCTTCCTCTGTCGCAGTCCTCACTGCCGCTGTCACTGACTTTACTGCCACGCGTCGCCTTAGCTACGCCACTCGTGTTGTGGCAGCTCCTCCTGTCCGTCCTCTGTCCGCCGGGGGTGTGTCTGCCCTTGGCTGTGACGTCCTAGAGGACAGACAGTTTGAGCTAGAGTTCCTAGCAGCCGCTTCGCCTCATCTCTGTGCCATGCTCCTTGCTCCTGAGGGTGACCCCGACGCTCCTGACATACCTACTCCTCGCACTTACGCTGAGGCAGTGTCAGGGCCTTGGGCCTCTCAGTGGCGAGCTGCCATGGACGCAGAGATGGCCTCCTACAGGTCCACAGGCACTTACGTTGACGACGTTCCCCCACCAGGGGCGAACATAGTCGACGGCATGTGGATCTTCAAGGTGAAGCGGCCGCCGGGATCTCCCCCAGTCTTCAAGGCACGTTACGTGGCTAGAGGGTTTAGTCAGCGCGAGGGGGTTGACTTCTTTCAGACCTTTGCGCCCACCCCGAAGATGACCACTCTTCGGGTGTTGCTTCACGTAGCGGCGCAGAGAGACTACGAGCTACACTCCCTCGACTTCTCCACAGCGTTCCTGCAGGGCCGCCTACACGAGGAGATCTGGCTGCGTCGTCCTCCGGGCTTCACTGGCACCTTCCCGCCTGGGACCCAGTGGAGCCTCAGACGACCGGTCTACGGTCTCCGCCAGGCACCCCGCGAGTGGCACGACACTCTTCGTTCTACTCTTTCCGACCTTGGTTTTCAGCCGTCCTCCGCCGACCCGTCGCTGTTTGTTCGTCGTGGGCGCACACCTTTCTTTGTTCTGGTCTACGTTGACGACTTGGTCTTCGCCACAGCCGACACTGTTGCACTGGCGGAGGTGAAGTCCGAACTACAGAAGAGACACACCTGCACTGACCTTGGGGAACTGCGCCGCTACCTTGGCTTGCAGATCTCCAGGGACAGAGCCGCTCGCACCATCACTCTGACTCAGTCACACATGGTGCAGCAGGTCCTTCAGCGGTTCGGGCTTCAGCACTCCTCTCCCACACCCACTCCTCTTGCTGTAGACCACAGACTCACTGGGCCTTTTCCTGACGAGCCGTTCGAGCCCAGTGGTCCCTACGCAGAGCTGGTGGGCTGCCTCATGTACCTGATGACGTGCACTCGCCCGGACCTCGCCTTCCCTCTTAGCATCCTTTCTCGCTTTGTTGCGACTGGGAGACACCGTCCTGTTCACTGGACGGCGGCTAAGAGGGTGGCGAAGTACCTGGCCACGACGTCAGACATGGGGCTTGTACTTGGAGGGACTCAGCCAGTTGTTCTCACCGGTCACTGTGACTCCTCGTACGCTGACGACGCTGAGACTCAGAGGTCTACACAGGGTTACTGTTTCAGTCTGGGTTCTGGAGCTGTTTCGTGGAGGTCTACTCGGTCCTCCTCTGTTGCGACTTCTACCGCAGAGGCCGAGATCTACGCTGGAGCCCTTGCTGCACAGGAGCTGCGCTGGTTGACCTTCTTGCTCACTGACCTTGGCGAGCGGCCGAGCTCTGCACCGACCTTGTTTGCTGACAACAAGGCGATGATTCTCCTGTGTCGTGAGCCGCGACTGGAGAGCAGAGTGAAGCACATTGACGTCAGGTACTTCCTCCTTCGAGAGTTGCAGAGACGCGGACAGGCTCGTCTGGACTTTGTGGCCTCCGAGGCCAACACTGCAGACATCTTCACCAAGGCCCTCCAGCCTTGTGACCACCGCCGGTTTTGTCTGCAGTTAGGCCTCGTTGAGACTGGGTCTAGTTGACTGCTGTAGGGTGCTCTTTGTCTGTTGCTTGCTTGTACCTTATATATATTTGTTTGCACACTTTTGGACTGGCCTTGTGGCCCTTTGCTTGTGCTCAGATTAGGTGGTGACATTGTGATCCACCCTGAGCTTTGTTTTCTTTCTCTTGCTTTTGACTGGTCTTGTGACCGTAGGTTGCTTGTTGTTGATTGGCCTTCCCCACTTAGGCTATGGGGGTGTGTCAAATATTATAGCCTGTAGTGGGTTGGGCTATATGGGGTACAACTAGTTAGGGTTAGGTTATGTACCCCAATTCTGTCAATGCAACACATTCCGCTGTAGTTCTCATTCTGACATTAATAACCTGATTGAACCATGTTGTTAAGTTGGAAGTGAAAACGATTCAGTTTATTAAAATCACAAAGAGAACATATGTCCAAATTGTTCCATAATCAATTCACACTGAAAACGGTTTTGAGGGAAGAAGCATCTATAGAACATTTTTCTTCATAACAGGGAACTATCGAGCCTGTCATATTTGAAGTAGAATGAAGAAATTAATGAATTGCTTCTATAAGCAAAATATGATTACAATGTAATATATCATAAGGTTTCTAACACAAAGGATATAACTCCTCACAACCCTTCCGACGTGAACTTCGAATCTTGTCTCTCTAATCTGTCCCTCGTCAAACACATTTACGACTTCCATCGCGATTCGCGACTGCTTCCTCTGCCCATTTCTCCCTCACTTGCAATGTCGTCCCGTATGCTCTTCCTAATCCGGCGATCTCTTCACTTCTTAGCATTAGAACACTCCACGCGCTTCCATACCGCCGTCGGTCCGATTTCGCTGTCCCTTGGGGTCGTTAGACGAACCGCTCCAGCATCTTCCTCCTCCCGCCACGTGTATTCAGGGCATCGGCGTCGCGGCGACAAGAGCGCGTTTATCGCGAAAGGTTTGGCGAGGGATGGTTACGGCGGGACGGACTCGGAGCCACGGGGGGCCGGGAGGAACAGGGGAGAGGGTTTTAGGGGCGACGACGAGCGCAAGGAGCGCGAAGGTTTCAGGAGCGGTAGGAGTGGCGCATGGGGAGCTGGGGAATGGGGAAATAGACGAGAAAGATTTCGAAGTGATGAAGGGCGGAGCGGGAGGGATGGTTTTCGGAGGGGCGAGGATCAGTACCGGGGTAGTGACATGCGTTGGGGAAGAGAGGGGTTGAACAGGGAGGAGAAGAGAGGGGAAGCTGGTTATAGGGAAGAGGATGAGAGGAGAGGGAGAGAGGGGTTTAGAGGGGAGAGGGATAGAATATGGAGACAGGAGGGCAGGAGAGGGGGTGTCAGTGCCGGCAGCTATGGTGATCGCCGAGGGAAAGAGGGGTTTGGAAGCGAGGAAGAGAGACGCGGGAGGAAGGAGTTTCGGGGAGAGGACGATAGGTGGAGGGCCGCAAGTGTTGGGGAGTACGAGGAATGGCGCGGGAGAGAAGGGTTTCGGGAAGAGGGTTTTAACAGAAATGGTTTAACGCGAGAGAGATTCGCAAGCAGTGAAGGTCGGGGCGGGCGGGAGGGGTTCAGGAGAGACGGAGAAGAGCGCTTTCGGGGAAAGGCCGAGGGGTTCAGGGGCCAGAGAGAGGGCTTTAAGGGAGAGGAGGAGAGGTTTCGGGGTGAGGAGGAGGGGTTTAGGAGACAGGAAGGGTACGAGAAGAGAGAGGGCAGGGGAAGTTATGGACGGGCGAGCAGGCAGGACAGGCCAAGCGACCTAAGCAGGTTCAGTGTTTACGCGAGAACCGAGAGGGCCGGGAGGTGGGCGGGAGCGGAGAGGGAGGGGAAAGGGGACGGTGAGAGGCGGTGGGGAGCAGTTACGAGGCGTGTTGGGGATGCAGAGGGAGAGAATTGGAGGGGGGTGGAGGAGGGGGGCGGAGAGGGAAGGGGATGGAGCAGAGAGAGGTTTGGGGCATCTGAGAGCGAGGTGTCTGGAAGTCAAAGGATTCCTGCTGCTGGAAACGCAGCAGGAGGACGGGCGGAGACGGATGGGGGATATTTGGGAGAGAGAGAGTGGGGAGCGAGTGAGGGCGGGGCCAAGGAATGGAAGCTGGGGGAGAGGGGAGCAGTGGAGGGTGGAGCAGTGGAGGGAGGAGCAATGGAGGGGCAGAGCGGGAAGGGGAATGGCGAGAACAGGCAGAGGGGAAATGGTGGCATTGCAGCAGGGGGAGGAGTAACAGGTGGGACGAGCAGGGGAACGGGAGTGGCAGAGGAGGGGGTACAGCAAGAGGGGGCAGAAGGAGGGGAGGGAGGAGTGAGGGGTGTGGCGGGGGGGCGGTGCCTCAAGGGGGAGTGGACGTCACGGGCTGGGATGACGTGTTCTTAGCTGACGTGGGCGTGACGTGGCAGGGCCTGGGGCTGCAAGGGGAGGTGGAGGAGGCGATGTGCAGGGCGGGCTTTAAGCGGCCGTCTGCCATTCAGGTGAGGTGCGAGGTGGTGTGGAGGCGACAACATTGGTGCCTGAAAGCAGACTGTGTCATGCCGTCCGCTCCTTGCTCATCCCCTTTATCTTCAAACTCCACGTTTGTGCATTCTGGCGTCATTCCCCCAACTCCTGTCGATACCTCCCTCGTTTCTCTGTTTGCTCTCTCTCATCTCCATTATAATGACACTCGATATTGTGTGCAGGCGGGCGCCATTCCGCAGATCCTATCCGGATCAGACGTGGTGGTGGCCGCTGAAACGGGCAGTGGGAAAACGCATGCTTACCTGGCACCCGTGCTGAGTCATGTGCTGACGTGGCGCGAGGAGGAGAGGCGGAGGGAGATGGCAGAGAGGGAAGAGGGGAGGGCGGGTGAGGAGGAGGGAAGTGAGGGGAGGAGTGAGGGAAGGCTGGGAGAGGATGGTGAAGTGGGAGAGGTGAGAAGGAGGAGGGTGGGAGCTCGCAAGTTTGCTCTGGTGCTGTGTCCCAACGCTGCCCTGTGCCGCCAGGTGGGTGATGAGAGGATGAGGGGTTGTGTGATGGGGAGGGGGGGTGTGTGATGGGGAGGGGGGTTGTGTGATGGGGAGGAGGGGGGGGGGGGGGGGTGGGGGGGGGGGGGTGATGGTGGAAAGTTTGAAAGCGGGAGGTGAGGATTGGTGGGTGGGAGCATGCAAAATTTCTCTAGTGCTGTGCTGTGGGCCAAGTCTGCCCTGTGCTGCCAGATGGGTGGCTGGCAATGAGGGTAGGAGGGAATGAACGCGGAAAGCGGGGTGGCGAGGACTTGTGGGTGGGGGGTCGTGGAGGGGAGTGCATCTAGTTTGCCCTGCTGCTGTGCTGTGCCCTGATGCTGCCCCCATGCTGCCCCGATGCTGCCCCCATGCTGCCCTGCCCCTGTGCCGCCATTGATTGAGATGGGGTAAATGGTGGGGGTGTTGGGAGGGTGGTTGGGGAAGTGAGTGCAAGTTCGTTCTTCTCCCTCCGCCCTTCCATGCCAATAACGCCCTTCCATGCCAATAACGCCCTTCCATGCCAATAACGCCCTTCCATGTCAATAACGCCCTTCCATGTCAATAACGCCCTTCCATGCCAATAACGCCCTTCCATGCCAATAACGCCCTTCCATGTCAATAACGCCCTTCCATGTCAATAACGCCCTTCCATGCCAATAACGCCCTTCCATGCCAATAACGCCCTTCCATGTCAATAACGCCCTTCCATGTCAATAACGCCCTTCCATGTCAATAACGCCCTTCCATGTCAATAACGCCCTTCCATGTCAATAACGCCCTTCCATGTCAATAACGCCCTTCCATGTCAATAACGCCCTTCCATGTCAATAACGCCCTTCCATGTCAATAACGCCCTTCCATGTCAATAACGCCCTTCCATGCCAATAACGCCCTTCCATGCCAATAACGCCCTTCCATGTCAATAACGCCCTTCCATGTCAATAACCCCCTTCCATGCCAATAACGCCCTTCCATGTCAATAACGCCCTTCCATGCCAATAACGCCCTCCATGCCAATAACGCCCTTCCATGCCAATAACGCCCTTCCATGCCAATAACGCCCTTCCATGCCAATAACGCCCTTCCATGCCAATAACGCCCTTCCATGCCAATAACGCCCTTCCATGTCAATAACGCCCTTCCATGTCAATAACGCCCTTCCATGTCAATAACGCCCTTCCATGTCAATAACGCCCTTCCATGTCAATAACGCCCTTCCATGCCAATAACGCCCTTCCATGCCAATAACGCCCTTCCATGCCAATAACGCCCTTCCATGCCAATAACGCCCTTCCATGCCAATAACGCCCTTCCATGCCAATAACGCCCTTCCATGTCAATAACGCCCTTCCATGTCAATAACGCCCTTCCATGCCAATAACGCCCTTCCATGCCAATAACGCCCTTCCATGCCAATAACGCCCTTCCATGCCAATAACGCCCTTCCATGCCAATAACGCCCTTCCATGCCAATAACGCCCTTCCATGTCAATAACGCCCTTCCATGTCAATAACGCCCTTCCATGTCAATAACGCCCTTCCATGTCAATAACGCCCTTCCATGTCAATAACGCCCTTCCATGCCAATAACGCCCTTCCATGCCAATAACGCCCTTCCATGCCAATAACGCCCTTCCATGCCAATAACGCCCTTCCATGCCAATAACGCCCTTCCATGCCAATAACGCCCTTCCATGCCAATAACGCCCTTCCATGCCAATAACGCCCTTCCATGCCAATAACGCCCTTCCATGTCAATAACGCCCTTCCATGTCAATAACGCCCTTCCATGTCAATAACGCCCTTCCATGTCAATAACGCCCTTCCATGTCAATAACGCCCATCCATGTCAATAACGCCCATCCATGTCAATAACGCCCTTCCATGTCAATAACGCCCTTCCATGTCAATAACGCCCTTCCATGTCAATAACGCCCTTCCATGTCAATAACGCCCTTCCATGTCAATAACGCCCTTCCATGTCAATAACGCCCTTCCATGTCAATAACGCCCTTCCATGTCAATAACGCCCTTCCATGTCAATAACGCCCTTCCATGTCAATAACGCCCTTCCATGTCAATAACGCCCTTCCATGTCAATAACGCCCTTCCATGTCAATAACGCCCTTCCATGTCAATAACGCCCTTCCATGTCAATAACGCCCTTCCATGTCAATAACGCCCTTCCATGTCAATAACGCCCTTCCATGTCAATAACGCCCTTCCATGTCAATAACGCCCTTCCATGTCAATAACGCCCTTCCATGTCAATAACGCCCTTCCATGTCAATAACGCCCTTCCATGTCAACAACGCCCTTCCATGTCAATAACGCCCTTCCATGTCAATAACGCCCTTCCATGTCAATAACGCCCTTCCATGTCAATAACGCCCTTCCATGTCAATAACGCCCTTCCATGTCAATAACGCCCTTCCATGTCAATAACGCCCTTCCATGTCAATAACGCCCTTCCATGTCAATAACGCCTGAAATTTGTCACCTGCTTCACATTCCCATTCCCTCATCCCTCGCGGCTCTCTGACTCCACTTCACAGGGGATGGGGATGGGGATGGGGATGGGGATGGGGATGGGGATGGGGATGGGGATGGGGATGGGGATGGGGATGGGGATGGCAAACTCTCTCCTTTCCTCCATGCCAGCAATGCCCGCCAGTCCCTGCCATGCCTCACATGCGTCCCCATGCCTCACATGCGTCCCCATGCCTCACATGCGTCCCCATACCTCACATGCGCCCCCATGCCTCACATGCGTCCCCATGCCTCACATGCGTCCCCATGCCTCACATGCGTCCCCATGCCTCACATGCGTCCCCATGCCTCACATGCGTCCCCATGCCTCCATGCCCTCCGCCCTCCGCCCTGCACATGGCAGGTGATGCAGATGGCACTGTCGCTCCGCTCGCCACACAACCGCCCCTTGCTCGCCGTGGAGGCCGTCGTTGGTGGGCAGGTGAGAAAATAGGGGTTCAAGGAAATTAAAGAAGTAGGCTGAAGGAACCGCGTCTGGCTTGATTGATCATGTTGGCGATTCGCTTTGAGTTTTGGGACTGCTCAAGAATCGTCATTTTCAGAATATGCGTTTTGAGTTTATTAAAATTCGGCCCAAGATTCAAACATATGACCCCCTCTTCAATCCAATATGCTTTCCCTGCTTCCCCTCCCAATTTGCTGTTGGCACCGTCCTTCAACCATCTCTTTGCCTTGTTGCCATCCCAAACCCCTCCCTTCTGCTCCCCCAACCCCTTCCCCTTCTCCTTCCGCTTCCTCTTCCCCTTCCCCTTCACCTTCTCCTTCTCCTTCTCCCACCCTTTCCCCCTCCCCTCACCCCTCCCCTTCCCCGTCCCCTTCTCCCATCCAGGCGTGGCCCTCTACCCCACCCGACGTGGTAGTAGCAACACCAGCGGCGCTGTTCAACCATCTGTTTGCGTTCGACCCGCAGCAGCGGCGCCGCTCTGCCTTTGTGCGGGACGTGGCGGTGGTGGTGGCGGACGAGGCCGACATGCTGCTCGCCGGAGGCTACGCCCGGATCGTGGGCCGCCTGCTTGGCCTCTTCCGATTGGACGAGAAGGAGCGCTCCCAGGCTGCCAGGCTGGCGGGGGGGTCTGCCAGCGTGGCACGGGGGAGTGGTGCTGGGGAAAGTGAGGAGGGAGGGAGGGGGGAGGAGCAGATGCACTGGACTGAGATGGTTCCAGAGGTGGTGCAGGAGCAAGGGGAGGGAGGAGCGGAATCGGCTGTTGCTAGTCGTGCTGCTGGTGATTACTCGCCTTCAACGGGTGATGCCTCTTCTTCAGCGTCTGCTGCTTACCAGGGCAAGACGAGAGCGGTTGGGGGAGAGGAGGAGGGGGAAGGGTACGGGCAGGCGGATAGAGAGTGGAGTGAGGGGGAGGAGGGGGGGAAACCTGGGGAGGAGCGAGCAGCCGTGCTGGATGCGGCTGTGCGGCTGGGGGAGAGCGAGAGAGCAGCGGGGAGAGGGGGGAAGGTGGTGGTGAGTGTGCGGGAGAGTGCGAGGGAGGAGGGGAGCAGGAGGGCGAGGTGGGGTCGTGGTCGGAGGGAGTACGCACGGAGCAAGCAGTATGTGTTTGTGGCGGCCACCATGCCCACCGGCACCAAGAGGAGCGTCGGGGAGGTGCTGGCCCGCCAATTCCCTGCTGCCGTGTGGGTCAGCGGTGGGCTACTGCACCGCCACAACCCCTTGTGAGTGCTCATCACCGCACACCACACCTGTACACCCATACACACCCAAGCCTGTGTGCGTCAGGGGGGGCACTACGAGCTATCAACCATTGGCCATTCCCCGCTTCCTTCAACCCCTTTCCGCTTCCCCTTGCTCCTCTTCCTCCCAATCCTACCTCACTCCAATGCACAGCACGGCTGGCATCACGGCTGGCATCACGGCTGGCATCACTGGATGCCTTTTCGCCACCTGCCACCGCTCTCCATTCTCTTCACCAATCCCGCTCTCCATTCTCTTCACCAATCCCGCTCTCCATTCTCTTCACCAATCCCGCTCTCCATTCTCTTCACCAATCCCGCTCTCCATTCTCTTCACCAATCCCGCTCTCCATTCTCTTCACCAATCCCGCTCTCCATTCTCTTCACCAATCCCGCTCTCCATTCTCTTCACCAATCCCGCTCTCCATTCTCTTCACCAATCCCGCTCTCCATTCTCTTCACCAATCCCGCTCTCCATTCTCTTCACCAATCCCGCTCTCCATTCTCTTCACCAATCCCGCTCTCCATTCTCTTCACCAATCCCGCTCTCCATTCTCTTCACCAATCCCGCTCTCCATTCTCTTCACCAATCCCGCTCTCCATTCTCTTCACCAATCCCGCTCTCCATTCTCTTCACCAATCCCGCTCTCCATTCTCTTCACCAATCCCGCTCTCCATTCTCTTCACCAATCCCGCTCTCCATTCTCTTCACCAATCCCGCTCTCCATTCTCTTCACCAATCCCGCTCTCCATTCTCTTCACCAATCCCGCTCTCCATTCTCTTCACCAATCCCGCTCTCCATTCTCTTCGCCAATCCCGCTCTCCATTCTCTTCACCAATCCCGCTCTCCATTCTCTTCACCAATCCCGCTCTCCATTCTCTTCACCAATCCCGCTCTCTATTCTCTTCACCAATCCCGCTCTCCATTCTCTTCACCAATCCCGCTCTCCATTCTCTTCACCAATCCCGCTCTCCATTCTCTTCACCAATCCCGCTCTCCATTCTCTTCACCAATCCCGCTCTCCATTCTCTTCACCAATCCCGCTCTCCATTCTCTTCACCAATCCCGCTCTCCATTCTCTTCACCAATCCCGCTCTCCATTCTCTTCACCAATCCCGCTCTCCATTCTCTTCACCAATCCCGCTCTCCATTCTCTTCACCAATCCCGCTCTCCATTCTCTTCACCAATCCCGCTCTCCATTCTCTTCACCAATCCCGCTCTCCATTCTCTTCACCAATCCCGCTCTCCATTCTCTTCACCAATCCCGCTCTCCATTCTCTTCACCAATCCCGCTCTCCATTCTCTTCACCAATCCCGCTCTCCATTCTCTTCACCAATCCCGCTCTCCATTCTCTTCACCAATCCCGCTCTCCATTCTCTTCACCAATCCCGCTCTCCATTCTCTTCACCAATCCCGCTCTCCATTCTCTTCACCAATCCCGCTCTCCATTCTCTTCACCAATCCCGCTCTCCATTCTCTTCACCAATCCCGCTCTCCATTCTCTTCACCAATCCCGCTCTCCATTCTCTTCACCAATCCCGCTCTCCATTCTCTTCACCAATCCCGCTCTCCATTCTCTTCACCAATCCCGCTCTCCATTCTCTTCACCAATCCCGCTCTCCATTCTCTTCACCAATCCCGCTCTCCATTCTCTTCACCAATCCCGCTCTCCATTCTCTTCACCAATCCCGCTCTCCATTCTCTTCACCAATCCCGCTCTCCATTCTCTTCACCAATCCCGCTCTCCATTCTCTTCACCAATCCCGCTCTCCATTCTCTTCACCAATCCCGCTCTCCATTCTCTTCACCAATCCCGCTCTCCATTCTCTTCACCAATCCCGCTCTCCATTCTCTTCACCAATCCCGCTCTCCATTCTCTTCACCAATCCCGCTCTCCATTCTCTTCACCAATCCCGCTCTCCATTCTCTTCACCAATCCCGCTCTCCATTCTCTTCACCAATCCCGCTCTCCATTCTCTTCACCAATCCCGCTCTCCATTCTCTTCACCAATCCCGCTCTCCATTCTCTTCACCAATCCCGCTCTTTCCCGATTCGTCCCAACCCCTCCCAACCCCGTGCATGTCAGCGTACGGCACGACTGGCATCAGGTGGATGATACCTCGCGAGCTGCTGCGCTGCTCAGAGCACTCACTGGGCAGCAAGATTACAAAGGAGTGGAGAGCGGTGCAAATGGTCCCCCGGGTGGAAGGCAGCATGACAGCATCCAGCGGACCATGGTCTTTGCCAATGACGTGGAATCGGTGGATGCCATTGGCCGGCTCCTCCAGCGCCACCTGTCGTCCTCTGCTTCTGCCACGTCAGCAGGAGGAGCCAATGATGGGGCCGTAGGAGCTTCTGACGTGGCAGCAGGGAGAGCTGTTGACGTGGCATGGTGCGCGGTGTACCACAAGGACGTGCCACTGGACGAGCGGGAGCGGGCGTTGAGAAGGTTCCAGGAAGGGGGGGGCGTGCTGGTGTGCACTGATGCTGCTTCGAGGGGAATTGACGTGGAGCATGTGTCTCATGTGGTGCAGGTGAGGGCGAGGAGGGATCCGGGGAGGTAAGCGAGTAGATGTCTCACGTGGTGCAGGCGAGCATGTGTCTCACGTGGTGCAGGCGAGCATGTGTCTCACGTGGTGCAGGCGAGCATGTGTCTCACGTGGTGCAGGCGAGCATGTGTCTCACGTGGTGCAGGCGAGCATGTGTCTCACGTGGTGCAGGCGAGCATGTGTCTCACGTGGTGCAGGCGAGCATGTGTCCCACGTGGTGCCGGTGAGGGCGAGGAGAGAGAGAAGGGGGTAAGCGAGTGGATGTGCGAGGGAGTGGAGTAGAGTAATGCTGCATGGATGGGCAGCACAGAGAGGAATTGATCTGGTGCATGTGTCGCACGTGGTGCATGTGTCGCACGTGGTGCATGTGTCGCACGTCGTGCATGTGTTGCACGTGGTGCATGTGTCACACGTGGTGCAGGTGAGGGAGTGAGAGGGGGGAGAGGGTGGCCCGCGTTTGGCAGGTGGGGAGGAGGAAGTGCTCTATAGTGCCCACTCTCCTACTGAAATTCCTCTTAGGTGGCACACGAGGCTGACGTGGAGTGTGTCTTACACGTGGCTCAGGTGAGGGGGGGAAGAAGGGCTGTGTGGGGGAAAGGGGGGAAGGGTGGAAAGGGGGAGGGGGGGAAGGGGGAAAAGTGGGAACGGGGGAAGGGGAGAAGGGGTTAAGGGTGGGTGTGCAAGGAAGTAGACAGTTCTGATCGCGGCAACGATGGGGGGAAGGGTGGATTTCTGTGTGTGTCGGCAGGTTTGGCAGGCCTGGCTGGCCTGGTGGACGTATGGGCACTCGACTCGAGCTTCACTGCACTCAACTCTCCTCTTTCTGCAGTCATCACGAGGGTCATCACGAGGATTGGACATCAAGTTTGCACTCATTTCTTCCCTTGCGCATGTGCGTGCATCCTTGCGTCGTCACCTGCCAGGCCGAGTTCGCTCTCAACGCTGTGGACTTCCTTCACCGCGTCGGCAGGACTGGCAGGGCCGGCAGGCCCGGGCGCGTCACGAGCCTGTACACAGCTGGCAGCGCTCCATTGGCCGAGGCCGTGAGGGCGGCGGTGGAGACAAGGGAGAGCACGGTGAGTGAAAGTGAAGATGAAGAGTGGTGGGGAAAGGGAGAGGAAAGGGGAGTGAGAATGGGGATTGTGATGAGTAGTGAAGGGATGAGGGAGGTTATTGGGTTGGGTTGGGTTGGGCTGGCTGTGCTTGATGCCATTGCAGGTTTTGTGCTCTTGGAGTGCCTGCTTAGCACTCACTGGCTGATGCTGCTAATGTGATGTGACTTTCTCATGAATCCTTTTCCATTCCTCCTCACCCTTGTTTGACAGGAAAGTGCCTTCAGTCGCAAGCGAAGCTTCCGCAAGAAGTTGAAGAAGTATGGAGGAAAGGACTGAATCACATTCAAGGAGTCATTGATATTGTGAATAGCCGCCTGTGTTGTTTGCTTACTCAATGAAGACCCGTGCAAAATGTGCAAGTCAATAGCAGGTAAACAACTGTCGATACAGCACTGAATGCAATAAATGTAGGGTAGGCTAGGACTGCACCACTCAACTATGTAATGCATGTAATGAATGTAATGAATGCAAGACCAGGCCAAGCCAATTATGCAACAAAATTTTCAGGCTCTACTCTTTCACAGCATGTGGTGTGGGGTATTTTTAACGGCAACCCTAAAACAGTGACTGCGGCCCTGCCATAAAAAAGGACACAGAATAACTATAAGCCCCTAGGGGCGTCTATCGGGGTGACTATGGTACTCCTCCCCACCTTCCTAACTCCGCCAGAACTTCCCACCCTCTTCACCACATTCCTTGTGCATATCCCCGTGCCGTGAGCCAATGCGGGGTGACATCACATGACTGGAGCTCTGTGTGGGGAAAGCCCGCCTGGGCGCGGTAGGTGAGGAAGAGGTGCTCCAACGCCGCCACATACTGCGCATGCACCTCCGCCACCTGAGTGGGGGGTGAAGTGAGCAGATGGCATGGCATGCAGACATGGCGTGTTATGGCAAGGGCCATGGTGGCACATGGCATGAGTGGCACATGGCATGAGTGGCACATGGCATGAGCGGCACATGGCATGAGTGGCACATGGCATGAGTGGCACATGGCATGAGTGGCACATGGCATGAGTGGCACATGGCATGAGTGGCACATGGCATGAGTGGCACATGGCATGAGTGGCACATGGCATGAGTGGCACATGGCATGAGTGGCACATGGCATGAGTGGCATGGACGCTTGAGTGCACGGTGGGGCGGGCAAGGGAGGAATGAGTGTGAAGAGGTGACGAGGGGACATGCAGGCACTCACATCACCCATGCCTGCACTTCTGCATGCAACCATGCCTGCACTACTGCATGCAACCATGCCTGCACTACTGCAGCCAACCATGCCTGCACTACTGCATGCAACCATGCCTGCACTACTGCATGCAACCATGCCTGCACTACTGCATGCAACCATGCCTGCACTACTGCATGCAACCATGCCTGCACTACTGCACGCAACCATGCCTGCACTTCTGCACGCAACCATGCCTGCATGCATACAACCTTCATCCCTGTGACCCACTTGTGCCATTCACCCGCCTGCCCCACTTTCATGCAAGCTGTGTTCGCAACCCAATAGACAAGCTCACCCGTTCTTTGGAGGGGTTGGAGTCGGGGTCTCCGCCGGCAATGGGAGTGCCGAAGACGATGATCATGGGCTTGCGCAGGGGGATCGGCGACCCCCACATGCCCCAGAATGGGGATGGGCGACCCCCACATGCCCCAGAAAGGGAATGGGCGACCCCCACATGCCCCAGAAGGGGATGGGCGACCCCCACATGCCCCAGAAGCGGGATGGGCGACCCCCACATGCCCCAGAAGGGGGATGGGCGACCCCCACATGCCCCAGAAGGGGGATGGGCGACCCCCACATGCCCCAGAAGGGGGATGGGCGACCCCCACATGCCCCAGAAGTGGGATGGCCGACCCCCACATGCCCCAAAACACGATCGGCGCGAACCCCAGCCTCCACGCCAGCGCCAGGTACCACGCGCCCCGCGGCTTCCACCAGTGGTACGCCGTGGTCTGGGGGGAGGAGGGACGGGCACATGAGAAGCGTGGGGAGACACATGGGGTGAAGTAAGGAAAGAGAGAAGGGAAAGCATAACTGAAAGGGCTGGTTGATTGCAATCACAGGGAGGGAGCTTGCTGTGGTATGGCAGAGGGAACATGAAGCAAGCCCAGTGGCAGGGCCACGTTGACAAGTGTGGGTGCTGTGCTGCATGGCCACGCCAACACACACAGTGGGCCAAAAGGACACTGCAGGGCGGAAAAAGCATTTGCTCCACCACACCGCCTACTGCCCTCCACCCTGCGCCCTCTGCCCTCTGCCCTCTGCTCCCTGCCCCCAACCCCTCACCCTCCACCCTCCACCCTCCACCCTCCACCCTCCACCCTCCACCCTCCCCCCTCCACCCTCCTCCTTTCCCCCTCCCCCCTCCGCCGTCCCCCCTCCGCCCTCCGCCTTCCCCCCTCCCCCATGAGACGCACCTCCCTGCCGGGCGCCACGAGACGCACCTCCCTGCCGGGGCCCACGAGACGCACCTCCCTGCCTGGGGCCACGAGCCGCACCTCCCTGCCGGGGGCCACGAGACGCACCTCCCTGCCGGGGGCCACGAGACGCACCTCCCTGCCGGGGGCCACGAGACGCACCTCCCTGCCGGGGGCCACGAGACGCACCTCCCTGCCGGGGGCCACGAGACGCACCTCCCTGCCGGGCGCCCCGAGACGCACCTCCTTGCCGGGCGCCCCGAGACGCACCTCCCTGCCGGGCGCCCCGAGACGCACCTCCCTGCCGGGCGCTCCGTGTTGGTGCAACCTACGGTTTGCACTCGGCTTGTTGTCCGTGTGCATGTGCGTGCATGCGTGTGTGCATGGAGTGGTATGAGTGCATGAAATAAATATATATTTCATGCTTATAATGGTGTGTGAATGATGGGTCATGATGTCAAGTGTGTGTGTGTCAAGTCAATAGCGAGTCATCGCTGGTCGCATGTTACGCGATCATTTTGTCTGTCCCGTGCGGTTTCTATTTTGTCATGCGTGGTTTCTATTTTGTCGCTTGTCGAACGTTCGGCGTGTCGCAGGTGTGTGCAGCAGACCCATCAAGAACTCAAGGATGAGTTTGTGATGAAGAATTCGAGCCTTGGTTCAAGCTTCAAGTGATTTCGAAGCTCGTCAAAAGGCTACACCTCAAGATATTGAAGATAGTTACATTACAATGTGTAGTGTAACATTTCAGTTGGTGTAGGCCCTTGTGAAGGGTAGTTTCGAGACCCTTCTTAGTTGGGGACAGTGTGGAACTGTTCCCTATCACTGTACCTCGGCTCTTGGGGTTTGTAGGAGCTGGGAGTCCTTCCCAACTCGCAACTCTTCCTAGCTGTTCGTAATTGTGTCTCCTAAAACTATGTTGTTGCCATAGTGCCGTTCGTTCAAACTGACGCTGTGTCGTCAATACTTGATGAAATCGTGCGATCTAAATTGCCTATTGTAGGGCACGTTAAGACGCTCCAGATCCAAGTTGAATGAGGTCAATTGGAGCTGTGACCAGATCGCTATGATCGTTTGAAGCCGCTGTGCAGAAATCTGACTGCGCACTCTATCTTTGGTTCTAGGCACATTGAAGCCTATTGTGACTATAACAAATAGTATCAGAGCGCCTTGGAGCAGCTACAACGATGGCTGGACCTGAAGAGAGGGGTGGCAGAGGTGCTGGAGGCAATGGAGAAGCCCAAGCACAAGGCCAAGCCCGTGATTCAGCCGTGGCGCCCGTGCAACCTACTCTTGGGCCTTCAGGGGATAAGCCAAGAGTGTTCGGGCTTGACAAGTTCAACGGCGACAACTTTGCTGAGTGGTCCTTCAGAATGGAGAACGTGTTTGACCACTATGACCTGCTGGAGGTGATGGAAGGAACGGAGAAGCGTCCCGAGAACGACCCGGAGAAGAGCCCGTGGGTGCGGAAGAGCGCACAAGGCTACCTCCTACTTGGGCAAGCGTTGGGGAGCAATCAGATCCGTCACGTCAAGCCTTTCCAGCGTGATCTAGAGAAAGGACCAAAGGCATGGGCTGCTCTCAAGGGTGTACACGCTCCTGCAACAGCGGCGGTAGCTGTGGTGTTGGAACGGCAAATGGCGACGCTACGAATTGAGGAAGATGAACCCGTGGAAGACGGGGTGCAGAAATTCTTCGACTTGCTGACGCGGCTAGAGGGAGCTGATTTGAACTACAGTGAGCTCCAGAAGAAGACCAAGTTGCTGGCCCTACTCCCCGAGTCGTGGTCCTCGCTCATCATCAACTTGAACCGTGATCTGCCCCGTCTCTCGCTTGAAGACGTGAAGCGCGCGATCCTACAAGAGGACTTCCGCCGCCGTGAGTTGGCGAGTGCGGATGGCGCTGGGGCAGCGAGCATCGGCCGTGGATATGGCCGAGGAAGAGGCAGAGGACGAGGGGGAGGAAGATCTGGTGGCAGCAACTTCAGTGGAGGCTGCGAGAATGGCGGATACGGCAGCGACGACAAGAGCTACGGTCGCGGTCGCGGACGATTTGACGGCGAATGTCACTATTGCGGCAAGAGCGGACATATGTGGCGCGATTGCTTCAAACTCCCTGAAGGATGGACCCCTGCTCAAGACCAAGAGGGTAGAGGAGCAGGAGGAGGGAGAGGCAGAGGCCGTGGAGGCCGTGGCGGCCGTGGAGGTGGAGCCGCGAACATGAAGAACGAAGATAACGACAAGGACCCGAGCGGCGATCGGTACCCGGGTCTATTCTACTTTGTGTCGACGCAAGTACCGGCTGGTCCAGAGGAGGATGAAGGCTTTGAGGAGCCAGCAGCTGTGGGGAAGGTGACCCTACACCCCCTGGACTATTGGGTGATCGACAGCGGCGCTACCTATAGCATGACACCTCGCCCCGACTTGCTCACCGAACTCGAGCCGTCACCGGTGAAGCACGTCACATCGGCTTTGGGGCAGCGAGCAGAGGTGAAAGGCATGGGCAAGGCCATGTTCAAGGGTGCTGATGGGAAGATGGTGGGCCTCAAGAACGTGCTTTGGGTGCCCAGCCTTGCTGCGAACCTGATTTCCGTGCGGCGGTTGGCAAAGGCCGGCATGGACACGAACTCGAAGGGAGCCAAGACCTACACCGCGAAGATTGGCGACCGAATCCTATGGGACCTTCATGAAGTTAGGGACGTCTACAACAAGATGTGGCAGATCCCTGTGGTCCCCATGCCTAAGGAGAGGCAAGTGGCAGCAAGCGTCAGCACCAATGTTGACGAAGTTGGTAGCGGCGATAGCGCGGACGGTCGCGCTAAGGAGAAGGAGTCCAAGAAGAGCAAACCTGGAGTGACCAGCAAGCTCGGTGACCACAAGGAGAGTGGTGCAGCAGCCAAGGAGCAGCACAAGGGTGAGGAGAACCCCGAGGCAGCAGCGAAGGAGGACTACGGAGAGAGTATGTGGGGCGCTATTGCGAGCGCGACATTCTCCAATCCGACTTCGGCTACGGGGGAGTGTGATTGGCTCACCTTGCATCGGCGAATGGGGCATGTGGCCCTACCCATCTTGCAGCAGCTAGTGAAGAATGAGATGGTTGCTGGCATACGTGTGAAGGGGGAGCCCGATGAGGTGCTTGGCTGCCCAACGTGCTTGCAAGCCAAGTTCACCCGATTTCCGTTCCCTAGTTCGGAGGCAACGGCAAAGGCACCACTTGATGAGGTGGTGATGGACGTGGTGGGCCCCCTGAAGCTTGGAGCTGCTGGAGCTGAATATTTCCTCACCATCGTCGACGTCTACACCCGCATGACCTGGGTGTACGTGCTGGCTAAGAAGAGCGACGTTGCTGAAACGTTGAAGACCGACTTTTTGCCGATGGTGGAGCGGCAACAAGACCGACTAGTGAAGTCGATCCGCACCGATCGTGGGGGAGAGTTCCTGAGCAAGGAGTTTGGGTTGTGGCTGAAGAAGAATGGTATTCGGCACTCCCTCACCATGCCATACTCCCCTGCAATGAACGGCATCGCCGAGCGAGCGAACCGGACGATCACGGAGGCGGCACGCGGGTTGCTCATTGAAGCCGGGCTACCCGACTATTTCTGGCCTGACGCGGTGCGGAGCGCGTGTGTGGCCAAGAACAGAGTTTTGACTCATGTGGGAGCAGACAAATGGGTGCCCTATGTGGAGTGGCTTGGAAGGAAGCCAAAGGTGGATATGCTTCGGGTGTTCGGGTGCATGTGCATGGCGCTCGTGCCTAAGCATCTTCGGCACAACAAGCTTGGTGCCAAGGCGGTGTGGGCCGTGCACTTGGGCATGGCTCAAAACAGCAAGGGGTGGCTTCTTTGGGACCCATTCACCAAGAAGATCATGGTGATCAGGGACTGCAAGTTCATGGAGAACTTCATGTACAAGGATTGGAAGGCGGAGAATGAGGCGAAGATAGGCGTGCGGTTTGGGGAGGTGAAGAGTTCCGGCTTGGAGCACGTGGAGCTGCCTTTGGAGCTGAGCAGCGGCAGCACCACCACAAGGCAATCTTCCCTTGTGAATGGGGGAGAGGAGGCCAAGGATGCAGAGGAAGAAGAGGAGGAGGTGCAGCAAGTGAGCGAGCGTGCACCGACGCTCCCTTCCCGCACTACGAGCGCTCCACGGAACCGCACCACACCGCAGCAACGCCAAGGCCTTCAAGTCCCTGCAGCTGAGGAGGAAGGAAGGGGCAAGAGGAGAGTCCAAGCCCCTAATAGACTGACCTATGATGCGCCGGGGAAGCAGGGCAAGACGGCCCTAGCTGGAGCGGCAATGATGGTCGGAGACGACGAGGAGAGCGAGTACGAGGAGTGTGCCTTCGCGTTCTTCTCTCCGGTGGAGATGCCGGGAGAACCAGCAACTCTCAAGGAGGCCTTGGAGAGTGGTGATGCTGAGGAGTGGAAGAAGGCAATGGAGAGTGAGCTGAAGAGCATTGAGGAGAACGACACGTACGAATTGGTGGAGCTACCGGAGGGGCGTACGGCGATAACGTCCAAGTGGCTCTTCAAGATCAAGTCGGATGCCGACGGCGTGATCGAGCGCTACAAGTCTAGGCTGGTGGCCAAGGGGTACCAGCAGAAGGAGAATGTGGACTACAAGGAGCTGTTTGCTCCTATGGTGAAGCCGACGACGCTGCGAACCCTACTCGCGGGAGCCGCGATCAAAGGTTGGGTGGTGAAGCAGCTAGACATCGTAACGGCATTCCTCAACGGAATCCTCGAGGAGGAGATTTTTATGGCGCAGCCAGAGGGGTTTGATGATGGCACCGGCAGGGTGTGGAAGCTGAAGAAGGCCCTCTATGGGCTGAAGCAGGCCCCTAGGCAGTGGTACCTGAAGCTGCACGAAGTGTTGGAGGAGATCGGCTTCACTCCCTCAACGGCCGATCACTCCTTGTTCATGCTTGGCGAGGGGGAGCAGAGGAGCTTCATGGTGGTCTACGTAGACGACATCCTCATCTTCTCTCCCTCCTCTGACCTTGTGAAAGAGGTGATGCTGAAGCTGCAAGACAAGTTCAAGTGCAAGTCCCTTGGGGACGTGAACTTCTACCTCGGGCTCCACATCGAACGAGACGTGGAGAAGCGGTGCATGCGGGTGCACCAATGGAAGTTGAATGAGGTCAATTGGAGCTGTGACCAGATCGCTATGATCGTTTGAAGCCGCTGTGCAGAAATCTGACTGCGCACTCTATCTTTGGTTCTAGGCACATTGAAGCCTATTGTGACTATAACACCCCGAGACGCGCCTCCCTGCCGGGCGCCCCGAGACGCGCCTCCCTGCCGGGCGCCACGAGACGCGCCTCCCTGCCGGGCGCCACGAGACGCGCCTCCCTGCCGGGCGCCACGAGACGCGCCTCCCTGCCGGGCGCCACGAGACGCGCCTCCCTGCCGGGCGCCACGAGACGCGCCTCCCTGCCGGGCGCCACGAGACGCGCCTCCCTGCCGGGCGCCACGAGACGCGCCTCCCTGCCGGGCGCCCCGAGACGCGCCTCCCTGCCGGGCGCCCCGAGACGCGCCTCCCTGCCGGGCGCCCCGAGACGCGCCTCCCTGCCGGGCGCCCCGAGACGCGCCTCCCTGCCGGGCGCCCCGAGACGCGCCTCCCTGCCGGGCGCCCCGAGACGCGCCTCCCTGCCGGGCGCCCCGAGACGCGCCTCCCTGCCGGGCGCCCCGAGACGCGCCTCCCTGCCGGGCGCCACGAGACGCGCCTCCCTGCCGGGCGCCACGAGACGCGCCTCCCTGCCGGGCGCCACGAGACGCGCCTCCCTGCCGGGCGCCACGAGACGCGCCTCCCTGCCGGGCGCCACGAGACGCACCTCGCTGCCGGGCGCCACGAGACGCACCTCGCTGCCGGGCGCCACGAGACGCACCTCGCTGCCGGGCGCCACGAGACGCACCTCGCTGCCGGGCGCCACGAGACGCACCTGGCTGCCGTGCGCCACGAGACGCACCTCGCTGCCGGGCGCCACGAGACGCACCTCGCTGCCGGGCGCCACGAGACGCACCTCGCTGCCGGGCGCCACGAGACGCACCTCGCTGCCGGGCGCCACGAGACGCACCTCGCTGCCGGGCGCCACGAGACGCACCTCGCTGCCGGGCGCCACGAGACGCACCTCGCTGCCGGGCGCCACGAGACGCACCTCGCTGCAGGGCGCCACGAGACGCACCCCCTTGCCGGGCGCCACGAGACGCACCTCCCTGCCGGGCGCCACGAGACGCACCTGGCGCCCGCCACGCGGCCCGTGCTGACGCGGCCCGTGCTGACGCGGCCCATGCTGACGCGGCCCGTGCTGACGCGCGCACGGGTGCACCGTGGTCATCATCCCGGGCGTCGTGCAGGAGTGCGTCTTTATGGGGTGCTGGGTTCGCCTGCACAGCCAGGTTCGCCTGCACAGCCGCCGCCACCGCCTGGAAGTCCTCGCCAGCCTCCGGCGCCAGCGAGACGGTCGGCTCCACGACGCCGACCAGCGAGCACGACGCCGTCTTGTCGTCCCGCGCCTTGCCGCCAGCAGAGGAGTCGGCGTCCTTCGCCGTGGTCGACGTGGTCGACTGCTTCTCCTTGCGCGGCTTCTCCTTTCCTCCACGACGTGGACGACGACTGCCAGATCTCCCGCGACCTCCCTTGGCGTCGTCGTCGTCGGAGTCACTACGGTCGGGGCACTCAAAGGAGAGATGGTCGGGGCTGTGACAGATCCAGCACTCCCGACGTCGACCTCCTCCTCCTCGACCACTGTCCTTGGTCGACTTCTTCTTGTCGACCTCCTTGGCCGACTTCCAGCCACTGCTACCACCGCCACCAGACTGTCCACGCTGCCCCGGTCGACCGCCTTGCTTCACCGGGGCGACGTAGTTCACCTGCGCCAGGAGCTCTTGGGACCGCTCGGCCTCTTGCATCGCCTCGTCCTGCAGGATGTACGAGGTCAGCGTGTCCTCGTTGAGCGTCGCCCGCGTGCTCGGCGCCATCGACAGCCGCTTCAGCAGGTTGTAGCTGCTCGGAAGTCCCTGCATGACATGGGTGATGTACGATGCCGTCGAATACTCCGCATCGGCCATCCTGATGGTGGTCAGAATTCGCCGGGCCCGGTTGCAGTAGTCGGTCGCCGTCTCCTCGTCGCCCATGCGCAGGTGCGTCAGCTGCCCCTCCAGCTGGGCGATGAACAGGTCGTCGGTGACCTGGTACGTCGACTCGATGAAGTGCCACGCCTGGTGGCCGGCGTCGAGGTACTCCCTGCACCACTTCAGGGCGATCTGCACGCCCGGCGTGCAGCACCGCGAGATGACCGTGAAGGTCAACAGCTGCACGGCGCGGAACTCAGCTCGCAAGTCGGGGTCGTCCGGCGTCTCCACGGTGCCTCGAGCGAAGCTGATCAGCCCGGCCATCTCCAGCTGGGGCTCGATGGCCTCCTTCCAGGTGAGGATGTCTGGTCGACCGACCAGCGGGGGAGTCACCGAGATCCTGTCCGGCGTGAACTTGTAGTAGCCGTAGCTCGGTGCAATTCCGCCCGCCGTCACCTGGGACGCCGCCATCGGCATCAACCCGCTTCGTCGACCTCCGACATCGCCCTGCGAGGTGCCTGCAGCCGCAGTCGACCGCATCCCTCGCGCCTGAATGCCGCCGACTTCATCGGCGTGAATCACACCACGCAGCCTCGACGACGTGCCTCCCGCACTGCTGCCGACTTGGCCACCACCGGCGTTGACGCCCATGTCGACGCCGCCCTGGGTGTTCGCCGGTCGAGGAGACGCAGGCCGAGAAGGGTGCTCCGTCGCCCACAAGGAACGGATGCCAGCCTCGACGACCGCCCACGGCAGGTCGCCATACTCGTTGGCCTCGTGCTTCCTCCTCGCGTTCTCCAGCCATGCCTCCAGGGTGTCCACCACCCCCGTGTCACCTACGGCGCCTACCATAGTGACTACTGCACAGCTGCCGGCCTACGAACAACTTAGGTAAGGTGCCTACTAAGTCGACTAGACTGAAAGGTAAGTCGTAGTGCCGTCCACGCTCACCGCACCATGCGGAGATAACTACTACAACGGGAGCTAGACTACGGGCTAGGCACGGGTGCTCGTGTGATCTCTGCGTTCGTTGGTCCTTAGTCGTTTTCCTAGTGCACACACTGCTTGCTAGTTCACAAGGCAATTTGGCAAGAGTTTCACTAAGAAAGTTGACAACAATGATACAATGAAGTTGGCAAGGTAGGACTACATCAGAGCTAGCATGCAAGCAAGTCTATTGCCAGCGCAGCACGGTCGACCGCGTGCCAGCACGACTTGGTCGACCGCGCTCCAGCAGTGCAGAGTCGCGGCTTGCCAACACTGCAAGTCGACGGCGTGACAACAACGCAAGTCGACGGCGTGCCAGCGTTGCTCCCGCAGTACAGCATCACACCCGCTTCGCAGGTGCTCGCAGATGATTGGCGTGCAGTGCCTCGTCACCTGCACAGCGCACACACCACATCAACTTCGTGCTGACGACTGCTCCTGATGCACCACGTCGACCTCGGGATACCATCACCAAGGTCGTCCTCGCCAAAACCACCTGGGCGACCATCGCAAGCCTTCGCAGCACCTCGTCACCCAGGTAACCTGGTCGACCGGGCAACCAGGTCGACCAGAGGCTCCAGTGCGTGCCCGTCGACCACCCAGGTCGACGACCACTTCCGGTCGACCTCCCAGGTCGACCACTGCCTCTGGTACGTGCCGGTCGACCTCCCAAGTCGACGGCCACCTCCAGTCGACCTCCCCAGGTCGACCACTATCCCCTGGTCGACCAGCTCCAAGTCGACGGCACCCCTGGTCGACCAGAGGGTCTGGTCGACTTACCAGGTCGACCAGAAGGTCTGGTCGACGTCCCAGGTCGACCAGAAGGGCTGGTCGACTTCCCGAAGTTGGCGCCCTCCCGAAGTCGGCGCCCATGCAGTGGCTCCCCGTGTAGGTCGACCAACCTCGTCGACCAACTCGCCCACTGCTGCAGGTCGGCTGCACCCTACACCCGACCACGAAGTCGGCTCCGCCCAAGCGAGGACGGGGCCAACATACAACTCCCGTTGACAATGGGTGTGTGCGGGAATGGGTGTGTGTGGGAAAGAAAATGGGTGTGTGCGGGATTGGGTGTTTGAGAATGGGTGTGTGTGGGAATGGGTGTGTGGGGGAATGGGTGTGTGTGAGAATGGGTGTGTGCGGGAATGGGTGTGCGCGGGATTGGGTGTGCACGCAATTTCAGGCATAAACGAGGTTTGAAAGTCGTGGCGCGAAAGGGAACGGAAAGCGTGCCAACGCGAGGCGCAGCTTCTGCATGAGAACACTCGCAGCATGCCATAATTCTCGGTGATGGGAGTTCGCGGGCACGGTGTACAGGCATGGTTCATTGCGGTAAGGAAGAAGCAAGGGGAACTTCGGACACAAGAATGGCGTTCGGAATCCGCGGCGTGAAAGCGAACGGGAGGCGAGCGAACGGTAGGCGAGCGAATGGAAGGCTGACCTTCTATAAGCATTGGCGAGCGGCCCCTCGACGTCGACGGGCGTGACGGAAAGCGTGGCGAGCAGCAGCAGCAGCGCGATGGGTGCGGGAAGGTGAGCGCGATGACGAGGAGGATGGCGAGCAGGATGTGCAGCCACCCGATCCACATCACCAGCGCGACCCAGCCCACCCACGAATGCCGCGCCAGCACCGCCACCTTGCCGTCGTCGCCTCTTGCCATCGCACTACCAGCTGCTCCTCCGCTCCCCGCCCGCGTATCTGTGCCCCTTCCATCCAATTGTGCCGCCATCTCTGCCTGCTGTGCGAGCACCTCGTGTTTCGTGTAGGATGCGATTTTGTGCGTGTTGGGACGGCTTGTTTGCACTTGGACGCGTCACAATTGCGACATCGAGGGAGGATCGCGGTCACACACCGAAGCCATTAGTATCGATCTCCTCCGAGCCCGATGTGTCGCGATCGTCTTCAGGTTCGATAGTTAGCGGGGTTAGAAGCCCGTTTAAAGTTTTTTAATACAAAACGTCTGATTTGAGTGCGATTACAGATCGATTTGGAGGTGACATCGCGTTCGGTGACATGTGTAGGGTCTTTGTGAAATTTAACGAAGAAGGGATAAAGACACGATCAATTACACTGTAGAACCGAAATATCGACCTCCCGCAGGATCGATGTCGGAATTGTAGTATTACGAACCAAAACGTACGTGAGCCGATGAGCAGCTTCCGATTTTTGGGCGTGTCATAGGATTTTTTTGCAGTGAAATCTGATGTCGTGGGTGACAGAGCGGATATTTTGCTCTTTTCTGCGTTTGGGTAGGGTTTCAAGCAGGATTGAACTCCATATCACACGCCCTTTGGGCTGGCCCTCGTTTGGAATTTCCCACTGCTAAATTATGAAGAGGCTAGGGTGTTATCTTAAAGATTATGAGCGTATATTTTCTTCAAGCCCAAGCCTAGAAAATAACATGAAGCATTCGATTATCAGTCCCCACCCAAAAATTTGCAGGAAAAAACAAAAAGAAAAAAGAGAACGGTAAGCCGGCTGCACAAACGCAATTCTCCAAAGCATTTACAAACATGCCACTGTCAAACATTATATATGTTGTGTTTGTTTAGGCTACAGTGGGTTAGCCTATAGGGGGTACACAATTCTAGGGTTAGGTACTTGTACTGATTTCACTGTTAGTTCAATCATTCCTGTCCGTTCATTCTGACATGGTATCAGAGCAGGTCCTTCACTAGGACCGTTTTAGGGCCCACCGCTACCTACCTACCTACCTACCGTGCGCCCTCGTGCGCCCTCGCGCCCTCGTGCGCCTCTTACTACCGTGCGCCCTCGTGCGCCCTCGCGCCCTCGTGCGCCTCTTACTACCGCGCGCCCTCGTGCGCCCTCGCGCCCTCGTGCGCCTCTTACTACCGCGCGCCCTCGTGCGCTCTTGCGCCCTCGTGCGCCTCTCCCTACCGCGCACGCACGGCCTGCTAGCCACCCGCGCGCGGCCCGCTTTCCGCGGCGTCGTCGCCAGCCCGCGGCGTCGTCGCCTGCCCGCGACGTCGTCGCCTGCCCGCGGCGTCGTCGCCTGCTCGCGGCGTCGTCGCCTGCCCTCGGCGTCGTCACCTGCCCGCGGCGTCGTCGCCTGCCCGCGGCGTCGTCCCCTGCTCGTCGCGTCGACCTGCCCGCGGCGTCGCCACCTGCCCGCCGCGTCGCCCTGCCCGCGGCGTCGCCACCTGCCCGCCGCGTCGACCTGCCCGCGGCGTCGCCACCTGCCCGCCGCGTCGCCCTGCTCGCGGCGTCGCCACCTACCCGCCGCGTCGCCCTGCCCGCGGCGTCGCCACCTGCCCGCCGCGT